ATTTCACGACGTGGTCATCAAATATTTCAGTAATATTGTTTGTGTGGAAAGCCTTGGTATAACCTTTACTGACAAAAGAGCAAAACGTGTTTTCTCAAACGTTTTCAAGAAAACCGAAGTTAAAAAATTTCGAGAGATTTATGAGTAAATTTTCTGAACATATCGTCGAAAACAGTTCGATGGAAGTATGAGGGGCCGGACCTGACGAATTTTGATAGAAATTTCATTTTTTGTATTTCAAAAAATGTTTCTATTTTATTACCGGAGAATGATTAAGTCTCTCTCTCCTTTCCCAGGAAACTCATCGAATGTGTCACTGGGAACTAATATCAAAAATTCCTGATTGGTGAAAAAAGATAACGTGATTTGGAAGTATAAAAGTTGAAGTTTCTAGAAGTTAAAAAAGTACTTTACTTGACAAAATTCGTTTGGATTTTCTCGAAAAAAATTTTTTGTGTTTGTGTTTGAGCCACGACAAACACGTGAATACTTTGTAAGCTGTTATCAGCACTAGCAATAAACTGAAATACTACTATTATGATTACAAATGAAAATACAAATATGTTATTAAGAAAAAGTAGAGGAACCTTTCACGAAATTATGCTATAGTGAGCTTAATGTGACGGTAATCAACATCTAAAAATGTTTTTTTCGTACTTCATTGCATTGGGATGATTTGAATTACTTTAGTTAGTGTGAAATAGATCATTAGTACATTATAATCCTATCCATACTAAGTATGGATAGGATTATAATATTGATTAATCCAGAAATACTTCATAAATTTAGAAAATTTAGAAATAAAGTGTTTTTCAATTACCGATATAAATAGACACATTTCTTCCGGATCATTAGAATTTATGCAAATTTATCTACAGAAGCTGTATGAACTCAATAATAGAAATAAGTTAACGACTATATATTGTCGTGTTCTTTTCATTTCAAATTGTCATTTTATATCGTAAATGCACAGACAGAAAGCAAAGCAGATTTAGAAAAACTTATCATAAGGGTAAAAGAAGAAAGTGCTAAATTTGGTTTGAAGCTAAATGTAAAGAAAACTAAAGTAATGTCAACTAAAGAGTTAAAAGATTTCATTGTGGATGGTGAAAGAATTGAAGTGGTAGAAAGTTACATACTTTTGGGCTCAAAGATAGAAAGGAATGGAAGTTGTGAAGGAGAAATCAGGAGGAGAATTAATCTTGGCAGAACAGCCATGGCAAATCTCACCAAGATAATGAAAGATAAAGACATTTCCATTCATACTAAGAAAAGAATTGTAGAAGCAATGGTTTTCCCTGTAACATTATATGGCTGTGAAAGCTGGACTCTAAGGAAAAAGGAAAGAAAAATGATAGATGCATTC